TTGGCTAAAATTAACAAAAATCCCCGGCAACGACGCCAGTGAAGTCGCCGGAGTAAGTTTTATTCCCCGCAGAGTGGGATTACCCCAGAGATTGGTATTCTCAATCCTCAGCAGAGAGAGTTTGGGATAACTTCCTAGTAAATCTTATTCATCATCCCTAACAGATAGCGGATTCAATCTCCAGTATAGTAGAATTCCCGGCAAAGTGGAGCTATTCCCAACAGTTTGCTTTATTTCCCTAGAAGAGTTTTGTGTTCTAGGAGGCCATCCAGGGTTGTTTTTCCCTAGCCAAGTCATTTGTTTCCTCAGAAGAGTTGTATTCTGGAAGGTTGTTCAGGGCGTTTCCCCAGCCAAGTCGTTTGTTTCACCAGAAGAGTTGCACTCTAGAAGGCCGTTCAGGGCGTCTTCCTCAGCAGATTTGATTTGATCCCTAGCGGGTTGGCTTCTTCTCTTCAGCATTTATTTTGCTGGAGTGGCTCCTTTGCATTTTCATTGTGCATATCATCCTCCCAAACGCGTAACATTTCCATTTCGTATGGAGCATTACGCCATTTTCAAACATATGCATCCGAAGCATGAGCCAGGTTGTTACCTCTTGTTTTCAGATGTATCTTCGGCAGATATTGGTATATTTCATGAGCCTGTGTGGTATCTAGACCCCAACAAGAATCTTTGACAGATGTGTTCATCTATTCATTTCTCCCCAATAGAGTTTACTTATTCAAGTTTGTTCTTCCCCGTGTGTACCATAAGTGGAAGTTTTTTGGCAAATTTTTGAGTTCACATGATTAAACCAACATGGGCCTGCATGGTTTCTGAAAATCAATCATATAAAAGCTAAATATTTGCCCTAGATGCTCAGAAGTGGTGTAGCTGCGTGAGAGAGAAGGGAGAGCTTCAAAATTCCTCAAATATTCATTTCTTCGAATCTGCCATTTTATTGAGATTTCTGGTAACCTGGTATTTAAATCATCTTCACCAAAGCTCCAGGAAGAGGTTGGAAGCATTGAACAGAAGTTTGCAAGCAGGCTGAAGGGTCAACGGAACCTCTCCGTTTGGTAGGTTTTCCCAACTTCAAACCTTCATTTTAGGCACAATTTTAAGGTCATGCTGGGTGCATCTGAAGCCCTACCCTTGGTAGGCCATGTTTGAATCATTTGGTTGCATGTTTATGAAATTTCAGTGTGTGCATTTCAAATTTCGTGGCCTGATTTATCTCTATTCAAGGACCTTTTTCAAAATGTGTGAGTGGATTCTTGATCCTTGTTGCAAGGGCTTTCGAACAGTACCACTTTTACCATTTTTATTGGGTTTTGATCTCTGATCTCCGACGAGCTGGCCGGAGAAGACGACCTGAGCCCTAGTTCCGACGCATGGTTATTTTTTTGATCAGTGTTGAGCTGGCTTTGTTTGAATTGTTGACCCATGAGGTGTTGCACACGTACTGGCTTGACTAGGCTTGCGTGGGAAGTTGACTCCACGTGGTTTAATAAAACGCTGAGTTTCATTAAACCTGGATGTGTTTTGGTTTGGGCTTAGTCCCATTTGCTATGCGTACCCCCCAATTTTCAAGCGCAAGCGAGATTTACACAGGATGCAGTGTATTTAGTTCTTGCTGTTCTCACCCCCTCTTGGCTTTTGGTTTATTTTTATTTTATTTTCTTTATAGTTTTCATTTATTTTTTTAAAATAGTTCTTTAATTCTTAAAAATCCACAAAAATATTTTCATGACAATTTAGCATGTTATTTAATTTTTCCATATTTTTATTTTCATTTTCCATTTATTTTGCTATTTTATTTGGAATTTAGAGGTCAATGTGTTTTATGTTGTTCACTTAATTTGATCATGATCATTTGGACTTCAATCATATATCCCCTATGATCAATTATTCTTCATCACATAGGTGATGGATTGAAGTATCTTTGAGGGTGAATTTGAGTGGCCAATGGTTAAATTTCATTTGATTTTGCTTTGACTTTTGTTGACCCTCGACAAACACTCGATAAGGTGGAACACCATGCCTTTTGATTTTATATGGTGGTGCCTTGAGTGAGCTCTTGACTTGAACTTTGGCATTCTGTTTGATACTTGTTTCATCTTGGCTTGAGATTTTATTTGAGATTTATTGAGGTCTTCTCCTATTTTTTGGTGATTTTTGCAAGTCAAGTCATTTTAGGGTTGTTAACACATGCTAGTTTGACCTAAAACTTTAGATATGATCTTGAGTGATCCCATATGCATCTTTTGAGTTTTGTTACATTATTCTAACATACTTGAGATGCTGTTTCATCTTGTCATGGGTCATTTGAATGTGTAACTTGCTTTACAAGTCACCTTTGAATCATGTTTCTCCACTTATCTTAAGTGTTGAGATTGTGTTAGGACTTTGGTTCCTTCACTTCATATGATTATACTTGTGCCTTGCCTCTTGTTTTAGGTTTGATTTGAGTATTTCCTCTTGATGATTCACTTCTGTCCTAGGTGGTTTACCACATGTTCATGATGATTTGGTGTCATTTGTTTACATTTGGAGTTTGTCATGAACATTGGTGGTTGTGTTGCATTATTTTGTTTGCATTGTTTTACTTGTGTTACAAGGATTGTATGGTTGAGATGTGCTTGTGGTGGTGGCTGCCCCACACTTTTTCCTCCCTCTTTTCTTAGTGTGTGCATCTTAGGATATCACCATTGTCTCTTGATGATTGATGGTACATGGTTGTAGGAGTTTACTTCTCCCATTTCATCTCATCCCTTTTGACTTGTTTAAGTCATTTCTTTTGTGTTGAGTCTCTTGTGTTGTAGAGTCTTGTTGCATTATTTGTGTTTGTATTTCATCTCTTATTGCAAGTCACTTTCATCTTTCGTTTCTTTTCATATGTGATTGAATTGCTAAGTGTTTACTTGGGTTCTTTTGCCATGATCCCTTAGGATTCCTAGTCCATCTGTTTAAGATGGGAGTAGGAGAGACATTAAGACTTCAATCCAAGCATGATAACATTAGGTAGTTCTCCTTTCAATCCCAACTTTAGGAACACATTGCATGATAACATTAGGGTTGATCAGTTCCCCTTAGAGCCTTGTTTCTTATCTTCTCATCTCTTAACTTCATAAGACACTTAATAAAGGTTAACCCTTATTGTACGCTACGAGCCTTAAGTACTTGAGGAATGATGATTGGGGGCCTCCTCTCACCTTGTCTAGAGTGTTTAGCATATGCCCTTTGGGCGATATGCGACGCATTCGCTCTCAAGTCACAGTCTTTAGTGCAACATGAGTTTCAAATCTAACTCAATTCACTCCTTCTCATAAAAAACACAAACAAAATCAAAACTTTTTATCCTTCAGGATTGTTTGCACTTCACTTTCAAAAAGAGTACATTACTTTTCCGTTCTACCGCAAACAGGCATCGTCCCTAACTGCTGGAATGGAGATTTAACGTTGCTCATAAAAAATACTTAACCAACCTTGTTCCGTAGTTGCCTGAACTGCGTTTGCTCTGATTTCTCATACCAGATGAGGATACGTAGGCACAAGACGACGATGTCTTGGCGAGCAACCTTTCCCCCCTTCACCCGTAGTTTTCTGAACTACGTTGACACTGACTTTCCCATTGCACGAGGGAATACGTAGGCATAGGGCGGTGATGTCGTATCGAGTCTGTTCTTTCTCTTCACCCCCATTTAATAGTAGCAATAGATAGTTTTCACTCATAGATTAGACAACAAGCGTGGATCTCGTTGAGTACAACGGACGCGAGGGGTGCTCATACCTTCCTCTTGCGTAACCAACTCCCGAACCCAAGATTTGGTTGCGATGACCTTGTCTTTTCTCTTTTCGTCAAATTTTCTTCGATCGTTTCCTTTCCTTCTCTTTCGGATAAATAACGAACGATGGCGACTCTTTTGTCAGTCAGCCGGCTCCTTTTTTCGCGACAAGTATAAATTAAAAAGTATATTTTAGTATCTAAAATATAGTTGACTAATTCAGATTTTAGTATGTATGAGTCCCCTCCCTACCATATAAATTAAAAACAGGCATGTGTGTTCTTAACCGACTCCCCAAATTAAATATAATTGACTAATTAAGATTTTAGTTTTTGGAGAAACAATTAAATCATATGTTTTTATCCCTTTTCATGGGGATTTTTTAAAAAGTTATGAATTGTGTCCCGTAAAACCGGTTATAAAAAAAAAAATTCTAAGAAAAGGCATTGTTGCACTTATAAAGAGAAAATAAATTGTCTTTCAAATATGTGCTTATAGTCACTAAACCCTCATGTCTAGAGCCTATATAATTGTGTTCCCTCCCTACCCCATAAATATGCCTATAGAAGGCATGTGTTCCCTCCCTACCCCATAAATATGCCTACTTCAATTCTTCACATGAAAAAATAAAACCATTATCCTTCCAATAATAATAATAATAATAATAATAATAATAATAATAATAATAATAATAATAATAATAATAATAATAATAATAATAATAATAATAATAATAATAATAAAAGCAATATTCTAAAAGTTATAGAAAAATAAAATACAAACTTACTATGATTCTATTGATATTGACTTATAATTTGATTAATAAATTAAATATTAAAAATGATTTAATTAAAAATTAATACAATTTTACATTATATGTTATATAAATGACATGATATCCAAATACGAAATAATTTAAAAGGCGAAAAAAAATCTTTAATTTTAATTTTATTAATTATTATAAATAAATTATTTCTCTAAATTAATATTAGATTATTTATTTTAAGTTTAACTTAATGTTGTAAATCATTTAAATCATAACTAAAAGGTGTAATATATTATTAATAATTCATATTTATTTAGAGTAATCTAAGGTGGTTTATCATAGACTTTTAATTGATTAGGTAAACAATAACTCATATTAATAATTGTGTTTCTCTTTCATGCACAAAACTCATCTATAAATTCAAGTTTTTTCTTCAAACAAATCAAAACTCATTCATTCATTCCATCATGGTTGATGAAGTGAAGATCATAAAACAATGCCAAGTGAGTCCTCCAGAAGGTTCACTTCCATCTTCAATCAATCTTCCAATAACTCACCTTGACCTTCCTTGGTCTTACTGTCCTCTTATTAAAAGAATTTTTTATTACAACTTCCCTCATTCCACACAACACTTTCTTCAAACTTGTTTACCAATTCTAAGAAATTCTCTTTCCATCACTCTTCAACATTTTTTCCCTTTCTGTTCCAAATCTATTTTCCCTCCTAAACCTCAAACCCCTCATATTCTCTACACTCAAGGTGACTCCATCTCTTTAACAATATGTGAATCCAATTCAAATTTCAACAACCTCACATCTAATGCACCAAAAGATCTTACAATTGCATACCCTTTTGTTCCCTTGACTCCTCCACCAACTATTTTACAAGATGGCACATTGATGTTCCCGGTAATGGCCATTCAAATCACTATTTTTCCAAACTTTGGATTCACAGTGTGTCTCACTTATAGACATGAAATTGCTGATGGTAAAGCATTTCATCATTTCATTAAATTTTGGTCCTCACTTTCAAAAGGAAATTTACAAGTTTCCTCTCTTCCATTACCATTTCACAAAAGAGAAATAATTCAAGACCCAAAAGGTTTTAAACAAAATATCTTAGAACAACTATGGAATTCTCCACCAAAAACATTTCAATCTACTATCTCCACCCATGATCCTGTTTCTTCTCGAAATAATTTTGTTCTATATAGATTTAATTTGACAAGAAACCATGTTGATAATTTGAAGAAATGGATAGTTACAAAAAGCCAAACTATTGGTCTTGACTTGTTGCATTTGTCAACCTTTGTTGTTACATGTTCTTTGTTATGGGTTTCTATGGAGAAATTAAGATCTCAAGATAAGAAAAACATCACCGTTGATTGTGTTGCAGATGAGGTAAGCCCTTCGATGCTTTTAGGATCCCTTAGCCAGTTGATTCTGAAAATTCTGAAATTGTTTATTCAACTACATATATGTTTTAAGGGAAATGATAACCAGTATTTTCAGGACACTTTTTAAGACTTTAAATAGTAAGTTTTTATAAAAGTATGTGCAATGATGTGTAATAATGTGCATTGAAAATTGAAGTGTTTGAATTTTTTAAAGAATAATTTTTTAATATGAAATGTTTAAATAGTGTCCTGAGGGCACTGGTTAGCAAGACCCATGTTTTAATTTGTTAAAAAAATAATATGATACACTAGCTTATAATATTATAATGATTTTTTTATTTTTTTAAAATATCAAATACATATAAAAATGTTGACATAATCATTTACAAGTTTCTTCTCTAAAATACTCCAAAATTTGACTTGCAACTTTTAGAGTTTTAATAGATATAGTAAACAAGATTTAATTACTTTTCAATAGATATTTTATGAGTTTAAATAAGATTTTAATTTATGTAAATATATCATCATTTATGTTTAGTTTTCTTTATAAAAAAAATCTTTTTTTCTTATATTAAGACGTGACTTTTTTTTTATATTTAGAGTTTTGTGCATTTCTCGAAAATATTAAACGTGTTAAAATTATTCTATTTAAATATTTAACATAAAATATTCGATATATTACAACTATTAATTTTAATATTAATATATTGTGTAAAGATTAAGTTAAAATAGCTTGCAACAAACACACACAGTTTGATAGTTTTAGCAACTAAAAAAACTTAAAAATATATTTATAGAATACAAGTATTTAACTTTTTATTAATAACAAAAGAATTTAATTGATATTTATTGATAGTGTAAAATTATTTTACACTGTCGACTAATCACTCTCATATATTATACTACATTAAACTACAAATTTTAAATTAATTGTATTACATAGCAGTTTAATATATTTCTATTGGATAATAATATAAAATAAATTATTTTACACTGTCGATTATATTAGTTAAACTCATAACAAAAATATATATTTATAGAATAAAAATATTTAACATTTTAAAATATAATTATATTTTAAGTAAATATAAAGCTTTGATTTAAATTTATCTAACGTATTCATTGATCTCACTGCATATTTTTCATAGGTAACGAATAATTCTCCTTCCGAGAATGATTTGGAGGAAAACTGTGACTTTGGATTTCTAATGGATATGCGTAACCGTTTTGAACTTTCAATTCCTTCTACATATTTTGGAAATTGTTTGATGATGTGTGGTACAGCACTACCAAAGAGAAAGTTATTGGGAGAGAATGGTATATGTGAAGCAGCAAATGTTATTGCAAGGGAAATTAGTTTGGCAGATCCATTAAAAGAAGTTGAAAAGTTTGGAATAAAATCAAATAATTTTGTTTGTGTCATGGGGTCACCAAAGTTTGATGTGTATGAAACTGACTTTGGATGGGGAAATCCCATTTTAAGTGAAATTCTTCATTTGAGTGATTCAAGTGGTTTTCTTCTTTCTGATTCACCGGATGGATATGGTAGTATTGAAGTTTCTATGTTGCAAGAAGAAGCTCAGGTGAAGAAATTTACTGACATCTTAGAAGTGCAACTTAGAGACATTGTAGCTTTTGAATGAAATTATTTTATGGCTAGTGATTTTGTTGTTGTTTTCTTTTCTCAGTTCATTGTTATTTTGTGGTGCTGTTACTTGTAAAACCTTCAATTTGTTTAATTATTGTTTATCATTTTGTGTTATTTTTGTTGTTTTGTTATCTTTGCACTACTACAAAAAGGGCTATCGTCTTAATTAGGAAAAGGTTTCACTATTAGAAAAACTCTATTTTTCTGTGGATTTACAGGTGGATTTTGACAAAGTTTCTGCAGGAAACCTGTTACCTGTGATTCTTTCTGCTATTTTCTATTTTTAACTACAATTTTCGTGGATAATTAATTTGGTAGGTAAAGTCGCAGAAAAATTTCGCAGGAAATATCGCAGGAAAATATCACAATATATATTATTTATAAATTCAAAATCGCAGGTAAAGTCTCAGGAATTTCTGCGAACTTTGTTACTACCTCAATTTCGCAAAAAATAATACCTCACAATATTAATTCGCTGATAAAAACGCAGGTATATCTGCGGATAAATTTCCACAGGAAAATACACAGATAATTCCTGTATTCCTAATAGTGGTCGATGGTCCATAGTAACGTAAAGTGCGGTGCGTTATTTTTTACTATGAGCTATTGCTCGAATTGAGAAACGGGATAGCCCACCACTTTTTATCACAGTAGGAATTTTTATTTGCGGTGAAAAGTGATTTTGTCATGGATTCAAATTTCAGCAAAATCATTTGGCATTTTAATACATGGACATTTTTCCACGCAGTACAACATTTATTACTTCTAATAACATTTTTTATGCAACGTGTGTAAAATTATCGCCTAAAATAAATAATGCAACAATTTTCATGTATCGTTAAAACAATTATTGCAACATCTAACAAATATTTTCTAAAATTTTCAAACTTTGCTATAAGTTATCTTTGACAATACCTTATAAATATTCCCTTAAATATTTACAAAAGCAATTTTTAATTATTACATTATTTCTTACAAAAATTATATTTTTTTAAATATTAAATAAAAATTTCAAAAAAAAAAAAATTAGGAATAACTTTTTCTCCAAACACCATAACATTAATTTAATTTAAGTTAGTAGTAATAGATATTTTTTTATAAGCAAAAGCATATTAAAAGAGAATATTAGGAGTATTTCAATCAAATATGACACATACAAAAAATATTAACCCCACCCCTGATCACAAAAACCGATAAGAACCATCTACAGAAAATCGGTGGAGTTTTTACACCATTCATAATAATTACACTGTTAGATAACAGAGCTAACCACCACCAAGAAAAGTATACAATCCTCTAGAAAATCTCCTACGATTTTTAAAACGCATCATTAAACAAAATCTGATTTCTCGCCCACCAAATACACCAGCAGGTACAAATCCAAATCAAAGAGGCCGAATTCTTCAAACACTTACCCACCATCTTCAAGTACCACTTCAAATAGTGTTGACAACCATTGTGTTCATCAACCCAAACTATTCCTACCCAATCGAATACAGCTAACCAAACAACGGACACACTAGGACAAGAACAAAATAAGTGGCTAGAAGATTCAACTACATTAAAATAACAAACACATACCAATTCATGTGAATTTGATATTATTTCCCTGGCCGCCAGATTCGAGCGCGAAGGTAACCGATCCAAAAATAATCTTCACCCAAATATTTTAGCCTTCATTGGAACATTAAAATGCCACAATAAATCAAGAAGAGTGTTGTGAATAATGTCTAAATCACATCCATCATGACTTCACATTATGGCGTCATAACAAGTCTTAGTTGAGAATTGGTTTGGATGAGCACCTGGCCAAACAAAATAATCTAAACACCTCTGCCTCAAGCTGACTTCAGCGAGAATATCCAAAAGATTATTAAGGTCAAAAATATATTGATCCTCCATATTCTAAACATTGAACCCCAACCTCCATGGCCATTTGTTATCTGTCCAAACTTCACATTATCCAATAGAGTTACATTTGAGATCATATAAATCAAAAAGCGTAGGAAACGAAACCCTCAAAGGCAACGAGTCCACCCATCTAGCATTCCAAAACGAAATGAGAATACCGTCGCCCAATTTATATGACAACAACGCACGAAAACCTTTTGCATCCATGGAGTCTCCAATCAAAATTAAATCCCGCCACCAGAGGGATGACAACCTGCCAGGAAAAGGACCAGATTTCACCAAAACTCTTTCCAAATATTTCCATACCTATATTCTAGCAAATTTTTCCAAAAATGACTTGATTCACTAATGATCCTCCAAAGCCACATTGAAACTAAGGCCAAATTAAACTTTGTAATTCTTTTAATGCCTAAATTGCCATCACTTTTTAATTTGCAAACACTCGACGAACTAACCAACGCAATTGAGCCTACTAATCACCCTACTTAACCTTATAGTAAGAATTTTTTAAATAATTTTGTATATGTTTCCAACAAGACTAATAGGCCTAAACTCTTTCAAACATTGTGAATTAATAGTTTTGAAATATATATATATATATATATATATATATATATATATATATATATATATATATATATATATATATATATATATATATATATATATATATATATATATATATATATATATATATATATATATATATATATATATATATATATATATATATATATATATATATATATATATATATATATATATATATATATATATATATATATATATATATATATATATATATATATATATATATATATATATATATAGTTAGAAATTATTATTTAATAGAATACTTTCATAAAGTATGCAACAATAAAAAGATTAAAGTAACAAAAAATAAAATAATGCTCATTCGGTAAATACCTCAAAGGATAACGGCAAATAAAAAATAATAAGAAAATATGATCTGAATTGACAAATGTTCAATGGTGGAGAAACATATTATGCTATATGCAGCGAAAATAAACGAGACTTAATTTTGTTAAGCTATTATCGAGGATACATCAGAAGTGGTCATAAACTATATTACTAACAAATAATATAATATCCTCAACATAAGTCTCTTATAAAGTAATAAATAAATAATATTTATTTCTCAATTTTATACAATTGACATGTCGAATTCTCCCACTTGATATAGAATAATAGTTAAACTAAAATTAAGAGTTTTGAAAAAAACTTAAACAAATATTCAACTATTTTATCTATCATAATACAATCATGTCAAGTAATGTCACACCGATAGAGTGTCTCCATCACTTATATAATACATAAAAAATTAAAATTCATTTCAATAAAAAAAATTTATTGAATTTTATAAAGTATTACATGTCTTTTAAAATAATTTTTTTTTCATTTCTCAAATAATAGTTTCAACAATATTAAATAAGAAATATAACAATGTACAAATATCATGTCACCATAAAATTCTAATACCGATAGAGTATTCGAATCATAATTTCTATAATCTTAAATCAAAAGTACATTAAACAAAAATATTATATTAATTATGCCACACCAATAACTATTATCGATATATTATTTATTCATGTGAGATGAGAAGTCATTGTATCTGTATCTTTTTTTTTTTTTGTATTATTAGTTGTCCCAAAGTATCACAATCTTAATGTATTTATAGTCTCAGGGGTCTAAACCGAGTTTTTCTAAAATGTAGAAATTGCTGTAGAAACTAGTGGTTGATTCCTGTCTGGTGAGAAAATTAATGTCACTATCTAACCCAATTTAATATTGATAAAGTACTTTTTTGTATCCAAAATTAATGCCACCCTAAACGATGGGGACTACACATTCAATGGTATAGAAATAGAAATTGCATTTTCATTTATTGAAGTATCTTTTCTAACGAACTTTCCAAATATGGTTACCGTATATTGAGTAAATATTCATCTATAACATATATAATAACAATACTTAATTTTTTGGTGTAACTTTTTTATACCAAATTTACCCTTATTTTAAAATATATAAGTTACACAATAATTTTCATTGAACTAGTACTATCATCTTTCGTATAACTCCCTACTAATAACTTTCCACATAACTTTCATGTAAAATTAATATTAAATAAAAATATATCATTTATATTTATATGTACAATAAAAAAGCGAACAGATGGGCACGCGAGTGCCCGTCTGGACGCTAGTTTATATAATAGTATATAATGGTATGAAACTGATAGAAAACTTTTAAAAAAACTACCCCATTTATAAAAATGCTAATATTATTCTTTAAGCACCAACCGTTTTTTTTTATAAAAAAAAACTGCCCCATTTATGAAATTTGTATTTTATGTTGTGTTTGCAATTCTACAACGATTTAATGTTTTTTAGCCAGATATCAAAATTTTAAAATGGGTGATTGTTTTTATCATATGTATAATTCAAAAATAAATGAGAGCAAATCCGTTGAGAAGTGAGACATTTTAAGTTATTTACTACAAATCGTGCCCGTTTGTAAATAGATATTATTTGATCGTGGTATTTAAGAGAAGTTATATAAGATATAGGTGTTTAGTATTATTGCATCCTACTACATTTTAAATTCTTTAAAACATCCATGTATGTATATGTAATGTGTAGTTCTACGCGTATATACTATTTTGACAACTTTAATCACTAAAATAATTCCATTATCAATTTTTAAAAAAATGTTGATACAAGAAAAAAATATATATAAATCTATAACTAAATAAAAGAGATACACCTTTTTAGATTGATATTTTTTCGGATAACATTACACAAATACATATAAAATGTGCACTATAAAAAAAGCGAATAAAGGGATATGAGACTATTTATCACAAGATTTATTATATAAATAATTAAAGTTAATTTCAAAATAAAGCACAATATTTATATTTTGTATGCTTATAAATATATATTTGTTTACAACTTTCAAAATATGTTAATATTATCAATATCTTAGATAAGTTACGTTTATTTCAAAAAAATTGTATATTCTCTTCTTTTTTTTAATTGTATTTTATAATTTCTTGTGTGT